GGTGCATCATGAAAACATCCCAACCCAATGCTGCCCAAGCCCACAAATCCAACATTAACCCATTAACCCAACACCAGTCCACAAAGTCCTCCACCTCACAAAACAGAGGCAATGATGCCGACTGCAGGAGGAAAGCTGAGTCCATGAACGTGTAAGCATCTCAGCACTGGCAAGGGTCTCCACATGGCTGCTCCAGCACCCAGGGCTGCATCGGGATAGATCCATGCGGCTTCTCCTTGGGGATGTCTTGGAGGAAGTCAATCTTGCAAGCTGAAGCAGGGAACTGCTAAGGCAGCTGCACCCGATACAACCATCACAAAACAAGAGACCCGAGAACTCGAAAGGCGAGGCTTCACCACCCATTTATCCCTCCGCCTTTCAACCAGCACCACATGTGATTATCGGCCAGGCTGGCACAATTAACTAACTCACTCGGCTAAACACATAATATTAAAGCAGAAACCTCATTGTAACACCATATTCCTCTGATAACCACAGAATGGAAGGAGTCACTTATATGGGCTACTGTAGGCAAACAAAATCTGTTTCCTAATCCTGAAACCTATTACACTGAAGTTTTAGGAGTTAGAGGAGGTAGTATTGAGTGCTTACTGCATGCGTAAGTATGTCTAGTACAGAACCTCACAGATAGTAATAGGAGAAAGTAATTTTTGAGTCTCAATGTTAGTTTTAAGGACTTAAAATAGTTTTTGTTTGAGAATGAGTAAGATATTGAATAATAGAAATTTTAATAATAAATTAAGTGATTGTGTTAGTCTGGGTAGACTAGCGAAACAAATTCATAGACACTCATATGTGTATAAGAAGAGATTTATGTACAAAAGCTATTGAATAGTGAGAAAACATCCCAGCCTAGTCCAGATCAAGTCCATAAGTCCGATATTAGCCCATATGTCTGATACCAATCTATAAAGCCCTTTTCATACTCACACAACACATACAATGATGCCGAATGCAGGAAGATCACAGGTTATTGGGTGGGAAGTCTTGTGGACCCAGTGGTGTTGTAAGCATCTCAGCACTAGCAGGGGTCTCCATGTGGCTTCTCCAGCTCAGGGCACTAGCACAGTACCATGTGTCTTGTCAGCTGCAGAGTCTCCCAGGAAGTGAGCATGTAGCTCACCTCCAGCGAGCTATTTATGTCCTTCTTGCCTCCAAATGAGGTCATCAAACTATGACCTGCTTGACAGGCTAACCTCCACCCCTTCACTCTGAATCCTCAAATTGACATCAGATTATTTAACTACCACAGTGATTAATAAGGCTAAACTTTAAAATGTTCAACTAATGGCAATATTTGCAATAGGTAGATTAGTGGCTACTGTGTGATGAGTGGTTGCCATGGTGATATAGTGAGCTAAGCACTGAACTGCTAATTGCAAAATCAGTAGTTCAAACCCACCAGCTGCTCTTCAGAAGAAAGCTGAGGCAGTCTGTTTCTGTAAAGATTTTCAGCCTCCAGAGCAGGTCACTTCTGCCCCATAGGGTTCTTATGAGTCCAGAGGACTGGTGGCCGTGGATATGTGCTGGGGGGAGGAGTGGCGGGAAGTTAATGCTTCCGGTGTGTAAATGTTTTGGAAATGAATAGTCATAGTGGTTACACAAGGTTGTGAATAGAATTAATGTCACTAAAGTCTACAATCAGTGATTAATATGACAATGTATATAATTATATAAAACTTGCCATTATAACTCTTTGCCTATTATAGACATTTCACATGTAATCTTACAATATTCTTTTATATCTGGCTTGTTTTAGTTAGCATTATATTTGCAAAGTTCATTCACTCCATTTGTGACTGAATAATCATGATTGATGTGCCGCATTTTGTGTTCCCTGTTTAACTGTTGATGGATTCTTGGATTGTCTCCACTTTTCACTGTTGAGTATAATGCTGCAGTGAACATCGGTGTACAGTTACCTGCTGTGGGGTCTGCCTTCAGGTCTTTGGATGATTACCGAGGAGTGGAATTGCTCCGAGAGAGACGGATTCTCACTTTCACTTTGTGTGGACCTGGCGCACTGTTTGTCATGGCAGCTGCCCTATTTACAGCACCACTGGCGATGGGTGAGGGCTCCCATCGCCCCACACCCACACACTGCTTGCTGTTTTCTGTTTTCTTGATAGTAGCCATCCTAATGGATGTGTAGTGTTATCTTGCGATTCTGGTTTCTAATTCTATACTAATAATGTTACATATTTTTCATATACTTCTGCTGTTCACTTATTCCTTTGAAGAAACTTTCATGCATTTTGCTCTTTTGTGGGGGGATAATCTTTTTTCTTATCGAGTTGTAGGAGTTTTTAAAATATTGTAATATTAATTACTTATCAAGTATATGGTTCCCAGATATTTTTTCCATTATGTAGATTCTTCCTTTTCTTTGTTGATAATGTTCTTCAATGCACAACATTTATTTTGATGAGGCCCAATGTACCTATTTTTTTCTTTGTAGTTCATGCCTTCATTGTCATATCTAAGAATCCACTGCCAAGTACAAGTTCCTGAAGATTCACCCTTATGCTTTAGCACTTACAGTTAAACTGTTTTTCATTGTGAGATGACTGCATATGTAGAAATCCAGTTCTAGCTGTACAACCTGTTGAAAAGATGTCTACTCTTTATTGAAGCGAGTTGGTACTCCTATTGTGAACAGGTTACGTTTGTGGATTTGTCTTGGGGCTCTTACTCCTAATCCATGGGTCTGAATTGTCACTCCGGATACTAGTACCATGATGTTTTGATGACTATAACTTTGTAGTAAGTTGTAAACTTGGGAAATGTTGTCTTCACTTTGATGTTTCTTTTTGAGGAGTTGTTTTAGCTCTTGGATGCTTCTGGAAATTCCATATAAATTTAAGGATGGGCTTTTCTCTTACTGTATTAGAATTTTGACAAAGATTGCATTGAATCTTTGCATTGTTTTTGTAGTGTTGATTTTGACAGCATTATGTTTTGAAGCTTTAAACATGGGTGCATTTTCATTTATTTACATCTCATTCAGTTTTTACAGTAAGGTTTCCTAAGTTTTCACAGCACAAGTTTTCTCTGTGTTTAAACTTACTAATAGATAATTATTCTTTAGATGTCATTATAAAAGTCATTGCTTTCTTAACTTCTTGTTCACCTTGTTCGTTGCTGATATAATAGACACACTTTGACACAAAAGTTGGTCCACTTTGTTGAATTAGTTTATTAGCTTTCTATGTTTCTAATTGTTTTCTTTATAAATCTTTGAGTTTTCTACTTTGACAATCATGTTGAATAAAAGATAATTTCACTTCTTTTTTGGTTTAGATACCTTTTATTTCTTTTCTTGCCTAATTGCTCCAGCTAAAACTTCAGTATATCATTGAATAATGACAGTAGTGAAACGAGTATACTTATCTCATTACTTATGGTTCTTACATTGAACTGAACAATATTAATTGTTTATATTTCTCAACTTATGACTTATGCTCCATCTCTTGAGCCCATAACACTTCTAATAAATTTCCAGTAAGTATGATATCCATGTCTTCTAAAAATAGTCAGGATAACATTTACTCTGCATGCTATTTCCATGCTACTTCATCAATACTTCCATTTCCTTACGGGATATAAAGCATTCTTGGTGTACAAAAGAATCAGATAATTCCTAATACGTGTGTAAGAGAATTATTGAAGTTATCTTTCTGCAATACCATCAAAACAAACTATCCTTACTGCTGAGATGTGTAGACTTGTACTAAAATAATGGACACTCTAAATATTCTCTCACTATTGAGTGGAGAGGTAGACATTCAGGAAAACAGTGAATGTGGTTTATAACCGACTGGATCTTTCATAGGAGCAAACAGCCTTGCGTTTCTCCAACAGAGTGGCTGGTGGGTGAACCACCAGCCTTCCAGTTATTAGCCACTGCACCCCTAGGCCACCCAAACTCCTTTAGCCTATGTTAGCTCATCTAATGCAACCATTACGTCACGTCCTCACCCTCTGTGTACATGTCCGTATGTCCATGTTTTACAGTAACAGAAATTGAGGAATTTAAATAGGGTCATTAAGCGCATGGAACTAACATGGAAAAGGTTGGAGAGGGGAAAACATCCCTTCCTGATGAGTGTGTTCCTGCTCATCTTCTCTCTCATGATGGCTGCAGAGAACCCGTGGCCCCCGAGGGAAGCGTGCAAGCTTCTCCAAGTGCAAGCGTGTTTCAGGTTCAGAAGCACACTGGATCTCTCAAAGGGGAGAAAACCAAGTCACTTATTGAACTTGGAGAAACATGGTTCATCAGTAGCCCAGCTATATCGTCTGAGGACCGAGGAATGTGGACTGACCCTTTTTTTGTTTTTGGTTATATCTAAAAAGGTGTCTTTAAAACACTTAGATGTTGTTGACTGTCAGTGTTGAAAATTGGTGATAAGGTAAGTGCCAAAGCCAGTTTTGTCCTGCCCGTTCTCCGAGGCACACCCGCAAGGCCTGTGCCACTTCTGACGGGGCCAGGCGCCCTTCTCCTTTGTGAGCCCGAGGCTGTGTTATAATCTAATTATGAGTCCACGGCTCAAGAAGTGGTCTTACCAGGCTTTGTGTTGTGACACTAATCACACGTGCACTTATAACTAACAAAGTAGTCATATGTTGACAGATCCTTGATTTGAAAAGGAAAAAGGAGGGAAACCCTCTCAGACCAGCTCATGAAATGTTTGTTTATACTGATCACCCACAGGGAAAAGAGCAAAACTAATTTGATGGCAACATTTTGAAATGACTTAAGCAGCTTGAAAAAAAATGCAGCAAGTGGGTCAGATTTATTAATAGCAGAGTCCCTGTGGCTTTAGGGACTCTTTGCTCCCTTCTGCTTAAATGCTTTAAACATTAATTCATGTTTACATACTCTCTTATTTGATTCTCCACTTAGATGGATAACCGTGTATATGAAGGATCCTATGAACACTTTCTTCAAAATTGTATACTTGCTTTTCTGTGTTTTGCAGAGCCAAGAAAATGATGAGCTAAGAGATGCCCATGAAAAACTCAAGAAAAGGCTACAGATGTTACAGACCAACTACAGAGCAGTAAAAGAACAGTTAGAACAGTGGGAAGGAGGCAGTGGCATGTGAGTTACATGGCTCATAAAGGCATTTCCCTAAATACTAAATGGAACGGAGTAGCATTATATTGGTGTTATAATGGCTTTTGCTTTATTTAAAGAAATTATTTGGTAGCAGTTAAGCGTTTATTGTGAAATTTTAAAGAGAGACTATAATAAATGAAAACAGAAATATGCTGGCAATAATTATAGATTTCCCTCTCATTTGCAGATATCAGCTGTAAAGGGTTATGAATGGCTCCGCACCTTTTTTAGTGTCACTGAGTAGCTTAATAAAAGTGTATCATTTAAAGCAAAAATCATGCACAACAATGGAAAATGGCTCTCAAGTAAATAAAATATTGGTCCTAAAAGGTTTATAATTCAAAAAGTACTTAAGTCTCAAATGAAAGACAAGAAATTCACACACATAGCTAACTATCTTAAAACTACTTCAACCTAGTAGCAATTTAAAAAGCTTTACTACCCATCAGTTTGTTCTGCAGCTTATCCGAATGAATTGGCGGTCTCAGTTCAATTGCTCTGAACAGGTGTTCAGATCTTGGTTAGCCGTAAGTGGCTCCCCTGTTACCAGTATCAGCAGAGGGCATAGGACGGAATGAGAACAGGAAACCCACTACCCTCTCATCTTTTGAGATAGATCCTTTAGGGCAGTGTTGATGATGCACATTGGTCTATTCTGTAGAGAAATACCATCTCTAAATTGGCCAGTACAGCACTTTTGCAAAATAAAAACGAAGAGTTTGTTTTATGTACAGAGAATGGAAATGTAAAGAGCATTTTTGCCTTGACTTGTAGATAGCTAATTGACATATCACATTTTTTTCTCCATTGATGAATGGAGAATGTTTCAGGCTGCTTGTCACTAACGCAGTGACAAAGCCATTTGTCCTGCAGCTCGAGTAACTTTTCAGTAGCCATCAGAGGTGAGAGGAGTATTTTCTGGCAAAGTCATTGGGAATAGCATGCTTTAAGCTGGAGCAACTATTCCCCATTCAGAGTGGCTGCCCGAAAATTCCAGGTACGTTGACTTCTCCCCCTTTTTTGAGAGGTGACAGTTGTACAGTGTGTTATTACTGGTAGAATGAATGAGAGGCAGCGACTTAAGCAGACCTTGTGTCAGTTTATAATTTTACAGTCTATCTTTAGGAAATTATGGTATTGGATTTTTCGTTTCCGCAACTTAAACTTTAGCATCCTCTTCTAATAAAGTAATGTGGAAGTAGAATTTCTGACCTTAAAATAAGTTCAGATTTTAGCGAATGCTGTTTTCCATTGTATGTTTTTGACATGCCATGAAAGAAAGCAATTTCACTTCGAAAACAGGGCTGATATCAGAAAAATCAAGAGAGCATATCCCCACCAACTTCGGCAAGAAGATTCTGATGCTGTATGGAATGAATTGGCATATTACAAAAGGGAGAACGAGGAACTCATGACGGAAAAGTAAGTTTCTTTCTTCCATTTTTTTACACTGCAGGCTTAGATACAGGTTTGAGAAAGATTTGTGCTTAAAGACTATGAGAGACACACCGTATAAAATAGGAAGGTGAAGTAATCGGGTTTTTAACGACAAAAATAAAGACTACCATGTGTTTGTATGTGCAGCAATAACTACATATATAATGTATGTAGGGCACAAACACACGCATATGTGCATGCATGTGGCGCAATCACAAGCTGTACTTTTGCTCAGGCTAACTGAAAGTATAAATATGATCTAGGGATGGTGTTAATTAATGTGGCTCTCAATGTTGGAGGTGTCGTTCTTCATTAGCCTGTGTGTTAGACACTGCCGTGCTTCATTTTTGGAATGAGGTGGAGAGGGGATAACCTAGCCAGCCATCCTTGTTTGATCTCCTAGATACATACGCAATGCAGAATGCCTGAGCTCTCTTGGTTCCCTGCCCTGTCCTGCTAATCCCAGCTGAGCTCATTATGGTGTAGCCTTGCTGCTGCACTTGGAGCTGGAGCTGTCCAAGCTAATTACTGGTAGCAGCAGAACTGCCTGTTAAGGGTCTGGTGTGGATCTGCTAACATGGTCCTTGGTAGTGACCTGCAAAAGACACGAGGGAATTGCTTCCTTTCTTGCTGTGCGCTGCCTGTCCTTTGGGCTTAATGCTGATCCCTTCACATAGGCCTTTTCACTGCCCCAAGTCTAAAACTTGATGAAGGATGCCCACGTTTTAGAAAATACACAGTTTGCTTTCTTGATCTTATAATTCACAGGCTATTATATTCAGCCTGGCTAAGATAAAACGTCATCTTTTTTTGGTAAACAGAAAAGGAATTAGACCCACATAATTAGCCTCTTTGGCTCCGTACCTGCTTCTTTATTGAGACTTAAAAAAATACATATTTTTTTTGAGACTTAATTTTTGACACACAAACTGAGTGTCAAATCTAGATGTCTTTTAGGTTACTAGAATTTAACAACACATGGCATAAAGCCATCTCCTTCGCTGGAAAGTGATCTTTTTGTGTGATAGCACATATAAATTTTCAGTGCATCCTTTTGCATATAATGATCAACCTTTCAGGCAATGGCCAGAGCTAATTTCAATGTGTGCACCAGCTCCCTTGTGTAGTGAGTGCCGTGCATCCTATTGGCTCTAAATGTTCAATGCGGATAATGAGTCTTGAATCGCTATGAGTCAAATTGAATTCAGTGGCACTGGATTTGGGTTTTATATTGAAAATTGTTTTTTAAATGACATAGAATTGTCTTGGAAACATTTCCAGATAATTTGTAAACAGCGATATTTACATATAATTCACACACCGTACACTTGGGAAGAAACACAGTAGTGACTTTCAGTTGTATGAGGTTGAGTCAGGAAGTATTGCCACCAGGGCTCCAGCACTTACACACAAGAGCGTGTTAAGAACAAAACAAAACGACAGGTGTAAAGCAGATCTCTGTGAGCCGTGATGGCTACAGACAAACCCCCTCACTAATACATTTGTCTTTGTCTAGTTAGGGTGCCTTAATGAAAGAAAGCCACTCCAAACGGTATCTGAGGGGGTCAGCTGAGCCAGTTCAAAACGCAGAGTTCAACTCACAAGGTCATGGCCACTATTTGTGGGGGATCTCAAAGGTGTTATCTTGATAGATTTTCTCAAAGGACAGAGCACGATCACAGAGGCTTACAAGGAAGAAGTTTTCTGAAAATAGAAAACTGCATTGCTTAGCGAGAGGCCAGCAAAGTTTTGCCCGGGGATAATTTTTCACCAGACAATGCACCTGCTTAGTCTTTGAGGGTAACAAGGGCTTCCTCCGGGAATTTCATTGGGAAATCTCACTCCATCTACCCTACAGCCCTAGTCCTCCCCCTTCAGTCTTCTTTTTGATCTCCAAACACATCCTCAAACACCAAGCATAATTCCAGTCCCTGCTGGTGTAGAGTGAACAATGCAGAACTCTTCTGGGAAGGGTCAGAGAGACAGAAACATTGCCGTCAGAAGCACGTGACCTTGGAGTATACATTGGGGACATAGCTGTATGTTTTGATTCTTTTGTTTAATAAGGGCTTCTGTGATTTTTGTCGCATGCCTTTTGACTTAGTGGCATCACAGAGTTGGTGTCCCATGATCAGAACAGAGCACCACCTCAAAAAGAAGACCTACATCCTCACCTGTTACCTGCCAACCCCATAGCTCCCACAGTCCTGGGCACCTGCTACTGTATTGTTGCAAATAGTACATTCCCCTAGATAGCAGGTCCAGTACTCATAGGAACTCAACACGCAGGAGTGTTGCATGGTTCTCCCCAAACTGTAGAGCAGGTGAATTATTTGTGTGAAAAGACAGTCATCCTCTTTCCGTGGCTATACATTGGCCTATTCTGGACAAGTTATATGTTTCTGAGATCATATAACATGTGGTCCTTAGTGACTGGATTCTTTCACTGTTTTTATTACTCATCCATAGTGTATACCATGAAACATTACTTTGCCTGATAATTTTTATTGATCTCTTTTGTTCCTCAAAATAGTTAACATTGGAAAAAGTCATTTAGGTGAGATATGTAATATAATTAAATTACAAATCTGTACCAGATACTAATCTGTACCAGAACATTCATTAATGAAAAGAACTTAAGAAAAGAGTATTAAGGTGTTAATTAAAGTTTTAAGAATACTAAGAAACCCTGTCCTGTTCACTCCGCAGTGTTTGTAAGGTACAGAAAGCCACCTAAATGCTAGGGCAACAACAAAATAACGTGGAAAAGTAACCAAAAGGAATATCTATATTCTAGGAATCATTATTAAAGTATGCTTAATAAGTAGGCTCTATTTCCTCTTATGTGTGTACAGTCATTGATGTAGCAGATTATCTGCTCCCATAAAGATTTACAGCCTCAAACCCCTATAATGAGTTGCTTGACTCTCTAGGGTAGACACTGGACTGTTGAGGTCAGCTGTTCAAACCTACCAGCTGCTCCTCTGGAGAAAAGATGAGACTTAAAGATTTACGGCCTCAGACACCCTGTATAAGGGTCACTCTGAGTTGGATGCTACTTGATGGCACACAACAGCAATGTAGTAGCAATTGTAAAGTCGTTTTCAGATCAGTCCAAACTAGTAAAAGATAATGAGCATTTGATTGATTACCTTCATAAAAGATGCTTAAGAATTCATATAAACGTTATATCTTTCATCAGAGACTTTGGGGGGTATGTGAGATATTTTGTGAAACATTCATTCAGTTAAGAATATAGTTGAGTCCCTGCTGTGTGACAGACAAACAAACGCTCCTCCGTGGGTGAGGTGGGAATCTCAGGCAGCTTTCTAACAGGGCGCTTCCTTGCAAACATAGTCCGTGTTAAATATTCTTAATGAAACGTGAGGTTAAAAAGAAAATGAATATCAACTGCACCGTCTTGCTTCACTGACATTTCTTTACTCACGAGGACAGAACTTTTAGGTTTGTTTTATATGTATATGCATTATAATGTTTTTAATGAATTTTATGTAACACATCTAGTTTGAATAACCCACATCTTACTCAATCTCCCCAAAGTCCCAGGATCCCACTAGTTTTCCTTTTCCTCCCTCTTGCAGTTGGTCTTCCTCCCAGCCCTCCTCGGGCCTGGCTAACTCCTGATAACCCCTAACTGATTCCTCATAGCAGACCTATGTACAGCACAGCAAAACACGGCCTGGTCCTGCATCATGTGCTCAATTGTTCTTATGTTTATTTGCGTCATGGTTATAGCCGCTGTCAGCCCCATCTTGTTGGGGAGGGGAGTCTTTGTCTTTTTTTGCTGCCCCTCTACCAAGCACGATGACCGTTTCCAAATACTGGTCTCTCTGGATAACATGTACAAAATATGAGAGATGAAGTCTCACCATCCTTGCCTTTGAGGAACATCATGGTTGTACTTCTTCCAAGCCAGATCTGTTTATTCTGTTGGCAGCCCATGGTACTTTCAGTATTCTTTGCCAGCACCATCATGCAAATCATGGTTTTACTATCCTATCCAGAAACTTTTGACCTGATCTAAAGGCATAGCTATTTACCTTATTTTCTTTTAGAAATTTTAGATACTTAAAATTTATCTTTAGATTCATTCTGAGCTAATTTTTTAGATGGTAAGGTTAGATTGGAATTTTTATATTTAACTTTGTAAATGGATATCCAATCGTATCAACATCATTTATTGACAAGGCGATCCTTTCGCTAATGAACTGCCTTTGTAACTTTGTTAAATATTAATTGACAGTGTTTTATGCACGTCTATAGTACTCTACATGTAGCAATCCCGTTTGAGGGTGCTAATTACTACTTGAAATAAATGAAAGTGTAGTGCTTCTTATAATTATCAACCATAGAATAGCAAAAGTCAGAAATTGAACAATATGTGTTACATATAAAATGAGAACTATAAATTATCAATAGTGTGGATTCTGATCCATTAAACTGAATAAAAACAAGGGCAGAAATATCCAGGCAGACCATTCAGTGATCAGTGGTGGTTATCCAAAGGATACTCCCATTTGTGCTTGATCAGTATTCAACTACGTTGATCACACTCTTCAATTTTTTTTTTCTTTTTCAAGTCGGACGCTATCTCTTTTGGTGTTGTTTCTAAAACTCTGGTCACTTTTCTCTTCACCAATTCATCCCACTCTCCTCAGCAACTTACTGTTGTAGTCATTTTGGACCTTGTAATAGACCTTATATATTCTCCTATGCTTTCAGTTATCGTCTCTAGCTGTTTGAATTTCAAACATCTGCCTGTAGTTAGATCTTGCTCCTTAAGGAAACTCAGTGTATCCAAGTGTCTACACATCTCACCCTAAATTTCTTAGTCAGATTAAACAGGTCTTAAACCAAATCATGATCTTCTCCTTCAGATCCACTCCTTACTCAAGTTTGTGTATCAATGTGGTCAAACAAGACATCTCCGGGGTCAGATAGATTTACCCATTTCTGCCCTCCTT